CTAAAAAACAAAACCAACTGTTAAAGCAGACATGTATAATGGCACATAGTAGGCACCTAATAAATGGTAGTTACTCTGAATGTTATGGTTGCTTAATAAATTCATTGAAGATTTATCTAAAAGGCTACTGAGAATTCCTCCTATAACAGACTAAAACACATATGGATGTTGAAAGCAAATACCCAACTACACATTTGTCCATTTTGTATTCAGCATATTGTATTTACCTTCATGGCTTCACTGATCTCCTCGGCTATTGTTTCTCCTCTGCATTTTCCATATGACAGGCTGCAAACAAACCACCAAACAGTATTTTAGTTTTTCTTCTTCGGCCTAATATCAAGTCATAAGACAAGTTGATGCCATCTGGACAAAAATCTGTTAGGACTCTTTGCCTTAGTTCAATCATTCTAAGACTACTTTATAATCCATTGAAACAAGAGTCCTATTAAATTTATCTAGCAAAAAAAATCCCTCAGGGGTGGAGAACTTCATCTCCATATCCCTGGGTGATTACCTGGGCAACAGAGGGCTTATCTGTACCTGAGACATGAGGGGGTGGGCTGGTGGTTGCTGCATGAGCAGAGAAGAAAGATGGCCTGGGACTGCAGTTTCGTAAACAATAAATGGGTTTTAAACTTTATTTCTCCCTTTGACTGATTTTGGTTTTTAGAGGCATTTTGCTCCGGGATTTCCTTTCCCTGGACTTACAATTGGCGAAAGTTGGCACGGTTCCTATGAACCCTAAACCTGTCATAATGGGTGCGACCTTTGGGAGGGCCACCCATAGAAATGATGGGGAGAAGCGGTGCTCGCGCTGAGGGACATATGTCTACACTCGTGTGGTCTTGGAGGCGCCACCACCGCTGCTGGCCACAACCATGGAAAGGAGCAGAGGTCCGGGCCACCTTGAAGCAACTGGCTGCTGGGTACCACGCCTTGCTGGCTACAGAGCCCATTGCCGGAACAGCTCCAACCAAGGTAATAACCTGCTATCCCATCGCGGGGTGGGTGTGAGACTGGACCCAAAGACCACGGAGTGGCGTGGCATAGACACCTCAGAAGACAATGTGGGCCCATCAATGTGGCTTGTCTTTCACCTTTGAAGAAGTCAGCCCGAGCCCAGAAGGAGTGTCCTGCATGTTGTGCAGATCAGCAACCACCAAGAGGGGCCTAGACCGTCTCTCTGCAGCCTATGGTCGGTCGCCGGTTACTGAGAGCAATCGAGGTACCCACTTTATTGGACATGTGTTGCAAGGATGGGTGCAGCAATTAGGAGTAAAATGGACGTGACCCTGGACATTTCAACACATGGATCTGTGATGGCCGGCTCTTCTGGCACCTTGGGGAAAAGGCCTGGAAGCTGGCCTTCTGTGTATTCCTGTAATACCAGAAAATTGGTCCCCGACAATCACAGTTATTTACTTCTACGGTCTTTGTGTCCTGGATGTGCCCCCCTGGCTGCAGCTGCTGCGTGATGACTGGAATAGACGAGCTTTGGACTTAATTTGCATGGGACTTTGAAACTAGCTGAATCCTCTGGCTTGAGAATTATGATTGTGTTGCTGTTGTCAAGAAAATAATGTTTAAAGAAAGGCCTGACTTTGTCTAATATTTGTTAAAAGTTTTGTGAACAATCTAGCATGATTGTTAGGAATGAGTAAACAAGTGTACAAATGTATTTTGTGCTTAGTGAGAGATTGTGCTGTAAAGTACATTTCCTTAATCTGCATAGGCTGCATCCGCTGGCTTGAGGATTATCAAGATTTTATTGCTGTTGCTATTGCATGTTACTAATTGTAGTATTTCCAGAGTATCTCGCCTGGCTTTGGTACATCTGCATATCATCAGGCGTTCAGAAGTGGAAAGAAGTATGGCTTTAGTGCCTTTGCATCTTTCCTCAGGGGTGAAGAACTTCATCTCCATATCAATGGGTGATTGATTACCTGTACCTGAGGGCTTATCTTTACTGAGAGGTGAGGGGGTGGGCCCGTGGTTTCTGCTTGAGCAAAGAAAGATGGCCTGGGACCGCAGTTTCGTAAACAATAAATGGGTTTTAAACTTTACTTCTCCTTTTGACCGATTTTGGTTTTTAGAGGTATTTTGCCCTGGGATTTCCTTTCCCCCGACTTACAAGTATTTTAGTTTTTCTTATTCAAATACCAAGTCATAAGACAAGTTGATGCCATCTGGACAAAAATCTGTTAGGACTCTTTGCCTTACTTCAATCATTCTAAGACTACTTTATAATCCATTCAAGCAAGTGTCCTATTAAATTTATCTAGCAAAAAAAAGACAATGTGAAAATAATAGAACAGATAACACTAATAGTTAGGACAGACCAGAGTTGTATGATGAGTAGCCTCACCACTGTGTGTCCCTAAAAGCCTTATTATTCTACATATTATCCACCATCATGTGTAACATCTTCAAGCACTATCATCACATTTAAAAATGAACATAGACAAATATTTTGTAATGGTATTAATCTGAATTTTATTAAAGAAAACATACTTGAACCTAGAGTTCACTCACACTGCATGAAGGTTGCCTAGATGGATTTCTGAAAATGAAAAGCAAGCAAGCAATCTGGAATAGTCAGTATTATTCATTTCTTCCCCTTATTTGCTCGGGCTTTCCTTACTCCTACTACATTTTATCTTCTTCCCATCTTCCTTAAAAATGTTCATGGCTACTTCACAACAGAACTGCATAGTCAATGATACAGAGGGATACAAATCCTAGTGATTTTTAACTAAAACTCCAAGTGAAACTGGAGATAAGAAAAGTCATTCCATTATGAAATCACCTAAAAATTAGTTTTTAAAAAGGTAGGACTCACTAGAAATTTCTTAACATCTCAGCAAGTACACAACAACTCTGTTAGGAAAGCCCCGGCTTTATTGGCTTGGAGAGACTGGCAAATAAGCCAAGCAAAGAATTTCTTTCATAACTGCTGTTTTTCTTGTCTGCCTTTCTTTAGGTCAAGAGTGAGAACACATTTAGAAAAAAGTGAGTAATAAGAGCAACTGAGCGAGACAGTGTACTCAAGGACATAGGCAGCGGCACACTGATGGCCTCAGGGAAAGGGTTCTTAGCCCTTTTTGTGACCAGAGATTTCTTTGGCAATTTGGTGATGTCTTTGGACCCCTTCTTAGAATAGTTTTAAATGTATCAGTTTTTTTAATTGAGGTATAATTAACATACAGTGAAATGCAAATCTAAGCCTAGCATTCATTCACCTCTGACAAATGCATAGTAAGACACAGACATTAACATCACCCTAGAAAGCTCTTAGACCCTTTCTCACCAAGCCTCTGCAAGAAGCTACCCCTCGCCTGATTTCTACCATTACATACCAGTTTTGCTCACTCTAAAACGTAAGAAAAATGTTTTAAAAAGTAAAATTTTAAATATAATTATTCTTAGAAGTTATAGGTAACATATGCTTTCTAATTAATGACTTAAATAATAAAAATCAGGTAGCAGGTCTAAGTATTACCATAATATGAAAATAATGAGTATAAACAATATTGTGAGGTATCTGCAACAAATGAAATTTAAAATGTGTGGCTTCTAGTAACAAAAAAGTTATAGGTTCTAATGCTGCCACCATTACCTGCGTCCAGAAGGGAAGGAACTGCTAAATTTCAGTTTGAAGTTAGTAAAAATAAAAATATAATTTTTTTCCTATTCAGGTTCATAGTCCCTTCACAGTCTTAAGGACCCTTGCCTTAGGATAATGCACTAATTTAATTTCATTTGTTTGAAGATTTGGGGAGATCTCCCAAGAGTACTCAATCACTAAATTTTCTCCTGTATGACCAATGAGTGATCCATACTTTGTTACTCTTGGGGCACCATGGCCTCCAGTTAGGCCCACACTTATTCTCTCTCCCTCAAACCTGCACATTTGTTTGGGAGTTGTCATCTATTTTTCCAACATTTATTATGCATTTTTCATGGACTTGGCCCAGGACTAGGTACTCAAAGTAAGGAAAGATGATCTCTACTCCTCAAGGAACTTTAAGTTTAGGAGAGAGAGATGCATAAAAACACACAGTACTTTTTCAAAATCAGTTCAGATGTTTAATGGGTAGTCTTATTAAGCTTTCCAAACTTTGCCACACTTTCCACCCCCTGCCTGAACTGCCCATCCCCCTGCTACAGGCTCCCACTGTGTCCTGAGCCGTTCTAGCAGAAGAGCTGGAAGACTTCACTGCACTGATTTGTTTAAATAGCATTTCTCAACCCTATCAGACCCAACCTTCCCCAAGCTCCCTCTTACTATTCTGAAATAAAATTCATACGTAGCATTTCCACACACAAGTAGAAATACAAAGTAATGGATATTCGTCATAAGAGAATGTTATGTTTAATATGCTCAGACCCAACCATACAATAAGACATAATGAAGTTCTCAGATACTTGTACCTATTTATGCTGAGTAAATTTGGATTTCAGAAAATTTATTTTAGAAGCATTCTATGTAAAAAACAAAAGATGAGAGGTATATGTGAACTAGAAAAACTAGTATTATGTAAGAAATAACTAGATTTACTTGAATAAGGTAAGAATGAGGAAATAATTTTAACAGAGTACAAATGACATACCAAGACAAAGTACAGGCTATTGAAATTGTGAAAATTAAGTAGTACAGTATTTCTATAAATGAAATGGCCTTATTAAAAGTGTCATGTTAAAATACTTCCCTATATTATAACATGGGAAGGTGGAAGATTAAAGCTAATGGAAAACATATCTCATACACTGAAACTGCATAATTCAGACTACATTCAGTACGTGTACATTCACTTAAGACTTCAGAGACCATATTTTCAAAAGTGATGGGACATAGAGTACAGATTAGGCAAAAATAAGAATCTCAGAAACTAGAGAGGAAATGTGTGACTGGCCTTTGTATAGATTCCGAGCAATAATAAAGACAATCCAAAAATATAAATTTTTAATATTAAAATTTTAATATTCACATTTCTTATTGTACAAAAATGTAATTTTTAATATTTAGCATGGCAGTAACAGGAAATATTTTTAAATTATTTCTATTAATAGATAAAATTCCTATATTTTGTGCATTTCTATTAATTCATTAACATTTGGTTATTGTCTGACTCTCCAAACTTCTATTACATTTTTCTCATCAGCTTTGTTGCTTTTTAAGAACTATATACTATACCAAAATCTTTATCATCTAAAAATGCTAGAAATGCTCTAAATATTTCAGTCTTCTGAAAAAAGGGGGTATGAAAACTAACCCATCTAAAATATTTCAAAATTAGACTGACAAAATGCAGCCCTGGTCGCAAATATTTGTTTACTTTGTTTCTTTTTATTTTACTTCAATTTACCCTTCCTGCACATGTTAACAGACAGACAGGAAGTTTATTTGAAGAACTAGGATGACCTACCTCAGAATAACGGTCACCTCTGATGGTAGCAGAAAGAACGCTGACCAGAAAGGAGCATGAGGAAACTTTTCTGGGCACCAGAAATGTTACACAGCATCACTAAAGTTGAGAAGCAGGATAAATAAGTGTTGTTACATTCTCAAAGAATATATTCAATATCTTTTTTCTTTAACCTCAAATTACCCTCTCAGGTAAAATGCTGCTAAATTTAGAGCAATGGCTCTGATTGTTAATATATAAAAAATACAATGAACACTATTTTCCTTATGTTTTCAGATTTTTTGCACACTTTGGATTATATTTATTATGCACATGAAAACATAATGGGCACATTATTTGAAAATACAGCTAGCGTACTGGTTAAGTTTATCCTATGTTTCCCAGGTAGGTAGACAGCACACCTACATCAAGGTGTCAGTTACATGTATTTATGTATATAAGTATAAATTCATCAGCTCTGCACAGTATGTTATACCTCAATATATTCACACATACACACAATAATGAACAAAATCTTTTTAAACACTTAATCTAGAAAGTTATCTTACTTTATGTGTGGAGGAAGGCAATCATATTCTTCATTGTTATTGCATGATTTGCAAAATAATCTATCATACAAAGAATCTATCATACAAAGCACATGTTCATTTTTTTATACACACGTGCTACCTGAAAAAACATTTTTGTCCATAAACCCACACTGGTGGACGATAGCTGTTTTCCAACTGTTGCGTAAGCAATGACAATGTAAAAAGTGCCAAGAGTAGTAAGGGTTTGTATTAAAACAATTACGACAGATTTTCACACACAGCTGTCTGGTGGAATAGCCTGAAGTTGTGCTGGGCATACAAGACACTGAGTCTTCCTGGTGTCCCCTCCCCTCCCATTACTGCGGTAACCCACAGCAAGCCTCCTCCCACTTTTTCAAAAGGACCGCTAGGGGGCAGTACTGCCGCCAGTAAGAACCCTGGAGTTACTAATCTTTCACAACTTCCTTGGGAACAAGAACCTCATTGTCATAATCTTGGACTCCCAAGTGTTGAGCACAGCTCCTGACATGCAGAGTAAGCCTTCGCTACCTGTGACGCACGAGGGCTACGACAGAGCATGCTGAGGAGGCAGAAAGCGGGGTGAGATCAACCCGGCAAGACAACTGAAAGGAGAGTAAAGGCGTCGCAGGTGTTATGTGACCCATGCCTTACACAGGATTTGGTGCTGGACAAATGCAGTGAGTGGGAAAAGGTGCTGGGTGGTAGAGGATGTGCTGCAGCAAAACAGAGAAATAAGTCAAGAAAGAAGAAAACACAGGAATCAGGAAACATGATGCAAAACAGAAAAGTAGTGAAGCAAATTCCTGGGATGAGGAGGAACAGAACAGACAGGCTGACGGCTCTGCAGCAGGCCTATGGGCGCAGCCAGGCCAGATCAGAACAGACGGACAGAAGGTCCCAGAGGAGTATCTCCGGGACAAAGGAAACGTTTTAAAATGGATTTGATGGATAACCTGAAGGGTTTACCGTACTTGAGAGGAATTTTACAGTTCCACTGAAGTGTTTGGGGAAGAAAGAACTAGTGATAGACACAATAGCAAACAAAGTGAACAGAAAAATAAAGCAATTATCATTCCAAAAGGGGGTGGAAAACTGTTCAAGAGAGAAAACACTAATGATGACCTGACTCATATTGAAGAAAATGTATACAGTTATCACAGTGAAAGTACTAAATACTACTGATTTTTTGACAAAAATGAGAGAATAAAAGTAAAGCTGATGAGTGTGTATTATTCTTTTGAGAAACTTGGCTACAAAAAGAAAAAAATTCAACAAGAGGAAGACAGCGAGAAAGCTCTCCTTGCGTGATCCTCTCGGACAGCCCCTTCCTGCAGGTGAGCTGACTGCGACCCTGCCAACCAACGTTACGTAATACCTTTAGCAACCCTGTGAGGCAAGCAGGTTTCACCAGCCTCCTCTCATAGGTCAGGAAACAGAAGCTGTGAGAGCTGAGAAACGTGTCCAGAATTGAACAGAACGAGAACCCTCATCTCCCAGCACCCAAAGCACATGTCTATAATTTTTCCTGTAACTTTCCAAAATATCATTTTGCAAGGAATTATACTATACTCATAAAAATGTAAGTTAACAAATGGTCAAAAATTAGGTCTAACATACTTATTCACTATGTAAGAACTTCTTCACCATGTAAGAACCTGTTTGTTATGCTTCAGAAGATTGGAGACTGTTGAGAATTAGGCTTGGGGTTGATTAATGATTGTGCATTGAGTCCCCTATACAGAATTTTATTGTTGTTAACAACCATTTGATCAATAAATATGGGAGATACCCTCGCAAAAAAAAAAAAAACCGTAAAAAAAAATCAGGTCTAACATGAAGAAAATATCTTGAAGTAAAAGTACACTATGTCTGGTGAAGACTTAAAAATAGAAAAATTGTAGAGTTCACTCTGTCTTTATTTTTATTTTTTTGTGTTAAGTGAATTAAATTCCTTTCATTGAAAATTAAAGAGCGTTAGTAATTTTAGGAATAAAACCAAATACACAAAGATTAGACACACCCAAAGGATAGGAAACAAACAACTTAATGGTTAGTAAATGAAGCAAAAAGGCATTTATTTTCCCATATAATACCTGCTTAGGAAATTCAAATACATAAACTTTTCACTGTCTCATTCAAGGTTATTTTAAATTAATTTTTCACTTCTTGTAACTAGTAAGAACATACAGGTACTCCTGAAATACAGGCATCTGACTTCAGAACATCTCACATGCGGAGGTCAGGGTTGGCTGGGGAGAATCTCCCGTGCAGATCCCTGATGTGCAGGAGACCGGCCGGGCTTCCTCCAGAGGCACTCCCAGCGGCGCTCCTTTTCTAGCCCTGACGGGGGGATCCGCATGGCACCACTATTTACTCTCTCGCTACACACAAAGCTGTTTGGGAATCCAAACTGTTCCCCTGAAATCCTACTTAAACACCATGTAGCGCAACTAAGCAAAACTAATGTGCATCTGAAATGTGATTTTCTTCGTATTTTTTCATCATAAATGCGCAGTATTTCAGGCACATGATAGGTTAAATAGGTCTTCAAATGGTAGCCTAGAAATTTACACATTTATAATGACACTTGTAAACTTTTTAAAGGCTGAAACTCATTTCAAATGCCAAAACTCAGATTCAATATGAATTTTTGAAACATTACCATTTGTAAGTGGTTGAACACCTTTAAATATGTATTCTGGCTGTGTCTTAAGCAAGTAGGTATTAGGAAAGAAGAGGAACTTCTCTGTCTTCTGTTCGTAGCGTGAGCAGAGAACCAGAAGTATCACCAAGTTGGCTGCAGCGAAATGTGAAAGAGCTGCTCCTCAGCACTACACGTTTAGTGAAGGACGGGGGAAAAGGGAGTCTTCCATTAACTTCAAAGAACTTTTTAAAAAAGAAGGCAATATGGGAGCAATTATTAGCCTTACTAATAAGGATTATAAAAGGTTGTAACTGACAAATGAAAATTAATCTTAATTGGTGGACAGCTAAGGGGAAGACTGCTGCAAAGATTTTTTTTTTAAAGTTTGCTCTTAAAAATGTGGCATCAGGCACTCTTGAGCACACTGCCTTCCTTAGTCACTTGCTTTCTAAAACAAGGGAAATGAAAAAGTGGAAATGAAAGATTGTGTAATCGACCTAGTTTTGCTTTCAGGTCACTATACTGACTCACCTTAGAAATACAAACTTCCAAACACCTGCACAAACTCAGAAATTCAGCAGAAAGCATTACCTGAGTGCTTCCCTTCTATTTCCAGTAGGTTCTATGAGCATGAATAAGCAAGCATGCATAACATAGGATGCCTGGCTTGTCTGAAGGCATGATGAAGGAGCCTGAACTGAAAGTAGCATCCTTGATCAAAATGCAACCAAAACCTAAGCGGTGATTTATGACTTTCTGGAGGATGAGTCTTTGCTACAACACAAACAGGTCTGTCGGACACACCTGCTAGGTAACAGGTACATAACTGCATCCACTCCCACCTGCATCTCACCGGCAACTGCAGCACTGAAGAGCTGTCTCTCTCTTAAGGCACACATACTTTCAGAGTCCTGTCTTGTGTTACCTGGCCTGGCCCAAGTCTCTAACCTTATCCGGTAATGCTCTTTCCCTCTAGTTGCTTCATTAACAGGCAAGCTCCTTCTCCACTTAGGAACCTCCTTCTAGCTAGTCTCGCTAATTGAAAGGTATTCCTCTTGACTGTTGCAAGATAAATTCTTTGTTACTTCCTTAGAAAAGTTTCTCATACCCCAAGACATCACTGTAGCACTGATGTTACTTATTTCTGTATTTACTTATATGTTTCTTCTCCCTCTAGAATGTAAGCTCCATACAACAAGGACCTTGTCTGTTTTGCTCACCATTACAGCCTTCACACTGGGAACACTTCTAGCATAAGGAAGACATTCAATAAACATGCTGAATGTATGAATAAACAGTCACTCAGTACTTGCTGAGTATGGTGCTATATGCTGGCTACATAGACTGCAAATGCAAAGTAAAGTTCCTGAAGCCTTCAGTTTTCGTAAGACTACAAACAGGGAAACACACAAATACTTAAATATTTTAACAAGCACTGTTAAGTAAATAAGGGAGTACTAAGACAGAGAACTGGGGAAAGGCTGTTTAAAATAGGGTAGGCAGGGATGATCTCTCTGAAGCAGCAGCATTTAAATGAGAAAGAAAAATTGGGAGATGCCAAACCCAGAAGCACTGGTGAGAAGTGTGGGGGAAAGTGAAGCACTTTCAAAGAACTGAAAGATGGGCTGTGAGGCTAGAGCAAAAAGGAAAGTGCCTGAAATGAATTTGGAGACGTAGAGGGGGGCCAGACAGTGTAAAGGAGTGCTGAGACGTTTCAGTTTATTATGTATTTTTTCAATTGGAAGATTTTAGGGCTTTAAGGAGATTTGTTTTTTTAAGAGTATCCTAGAGTTCAAGACAAGTTGGTCTTGAAGTTCACAAAACTTCCCATCTCTATCCAAAACATCATTGGATAGACATAGAAAATTAAAAGATGTATCCCAAAGCATTTATAAACATTCTGT